ACTTATCTCTTTGACATCTGGCGGGAGGGTGTTCCACAGGGCGGGCGCCACTACCAAGAAGGCCTTCTGCCTGGTTCCCTGTAATCTCACTTCTTACGGTGAGGGAACTGCCAGAAGGCCAGTAGTCCCACACAGAGTGCATTGCAGTAGTCCAAGCGGGAGATAACCAAGGCATATGCCACTCTGGCTAGACAGCATGAGGGCAGGTAAGGTTTCAGCCTGCGCACCAGATGGAGCTATAGACAGTCACCCTGGACAGAGAATTAACCTGCACCTCCATGGACGTCTGTGAGTCCAAAATGGCTCCCAGGCTGCATACCTGGTCCTTCAGGGGCACAGTTACTCCATTCAGGACCAGGGAGTTCCCCATACCTGTCTACCCCGTCCCCTCAGAAACAGTACTTCTGTCTTGTCCAGGCAATCCATTGACTGCTATCCATAAGTAGATGCTGACTCTGGGTTTTCTACATTAAAATTAAATATATGACTTCTATTGAAAAGGAGGGTGACAACAGGGCAGGAGGGATCATGTGACTGGCTCTGCCCACATGGCAGTGGCATTCAGGCACATACCACAACCTCAAGATAGCCTCACAGGAAAAAGACTAGTAAGGAGTTTGTGCGTGGAGAGGGCCTGCTCTCTCTACCCTATGAGTGACCTTACAAACTAGCAGAGGGGCTGGAGACATTCCCCCTGCCTTCAGAATCTTATGTGCTGTTGGTTTCCCTCCCTTCCTCTTCCTCTTGTATTTCTTTATTCTTCCAAAGAAAATAATTTTAGAGCTACCTGTTATCAAAGTGGAAAGTTGTAGTTCAAAAAGATTGTGAGCAAAAGCTGCTAATATGAAGCACAGCTTTCATTACCAGCAGATAGCAAGTAGAATTATGAATAGTAAAGAGGCCAGATGGAATAGCAAATCCTGTTTACCTTTCTGGTAATACATGAGCCAGAAGGTACATGATAAAAATCAAAAAGCAATATACTTAAAGCATATTAAAAGGAAATCCTTTTAATGCAGTGCAGTATTAACCTACGGAATCTGTTACCTTGGCCTGTAGGTGGTGTGGTAAAAAAACAAAAGAGTTTAAGGAAATAATTGGGGACTAACATTTTTTATTTTTTTTAATGTTACATTTCGAACTTTGTTTGCTGTAGTAACAAACAATGCTTCAGGTAGCAATGCAAAATTATGGACTTTAAGGGTTGTATCCCACGAAGTCATACTCAGAGTAGATCAAATAAAATCAATGGACCTAACTTACGGTAAGTCAACTGATTTCACTGAGTCTACTCTTGAGTATGACTTACCGTATTTTTCGCCCTATAGGACGCACTTTTCCCCCTCCAAAAATGAAGGGGAAATCTTTGTGCGTCCTATGGGGCGAATGCAGGCTTCAGGAAGCTATCAGCAAGCCTGGGGAGCCCGCGGGAGTTCCCGCGGCTGGGGGGGGGGAAATAATTTTTTCCCTTTATTTCCCCCCAAAAAACTAGGTGCGTCCTATGGGACTGTGCGTCCTATAGGGCGAAAAATATGGTAGTCCAGGGGTGTGAAACCTGTGATCCTCCAGATGTTCTGGGGCTCCAACTGCCATCAGTCCCAACCAACAGGGCCAGTGGTCGGGGAGGATGGGAGTTATAGTGCTACAACATCTGGAGAATCACAAGTTTCCTGTTCCTTAGTCAGATATAGCCTAATGGCAGGAGTCACCTAACAAGCCCTGTCAGTAGAAGCCCTGCACAAGAAATTGCACTTGAGCCAACAGGCTTTCCATCTTCTCCTCTCCCATACGCCACCTCAAATTGGCTCCAGGGGGTGGGGGTGGGGGTGGGACGACGACTCTGAAGAACCTCCAGAAAATGGATGAGGAGGTAAAGAGATGGAGGATTGTCCCATCTGTCATGCTACAATGGTTGCACCAGACAGAATGAACAGAAGAGAGCAACACTGAATTTCACCCAAAGTATTTATCCTGGCTCAGTTTTTCAAACAAATAGTTTTCTGTAGGTGTTTTTACAACCTTTGAAGAGAAAGAAGAAAGAAGCTTTCCTGGTGTTGATAGTAGTAGTAGTAGTAATAATAATAATAATAATAATAATAATAATAATAATAATAATATACCACGCTTCATCTGAAGATCTCAGGGCAGTTCACAAGATAAAAATACAGGATAAAAGCACAAAAAAGATAGCTAAAACAAAAACTAAACAATACCACCACCACCTAAACACCTTTAAAAGGCTGTAGAATATTAATCTGCCAAAGGCCTGGTTGAAGAACATTTCTGCCTAGTGCCTGGGGAGAGCATTACCACAAGTGGAAAGCCATTGCAGAAAAGGCCTGTTCTTGTGTTGCCACCCTGCGAATGTCTTGAATAGGCACCAGAAGAAGGGCCTCAGATGATGATTGCAGAGTCCAGGTCAGTTTACATGGGGAAAGGTGGTTTAACAAAGGCTTATTTCAATGTCAGCTCTGCCCCCCTCCTTTTCACAAGTGTGGCTGGCTTAGCACTTGTGTCTGAACACAGGGCTGTTTTGCCTACACAAACCATGATTGCTAACCAAATGGAAGTCATGTTAAGGATCCTTGGTTTGGACATAACGCTAAGCTAGCCACTCTGTGGACTGTCTTCTGGCTCACCAATGTGTTGGGTACCAGTATACAGATCATGCACAGTATGGCTTAACAATCCACATTTCTGGCTTAGCATTACATCCAAACATGGCCAATGCATGCAGAGTACTTTGAACTACTAACAAAATGTGTTGTGCATCAGCAAAGCCAAGGTTAACTGAGGACTGTGATCAGTAACAGGAGACTAGAAAGCCTTGCTGCCCTTGTCTTTCTTTAAAAAGGCTGCAGATTTTGAAGGTCCCGGCTCAACAAGCTTTAGAAATAAAATGGCTTCTGGGAAAAGATTTGTCAATACACAGAAAGGATAAAAACTGTGCAAACAGGAAAAGGATACATTTACAACACTAATGCAAAGCATCTGCAGTTGCTAATCATTTTGTAATCTAAAACTGGAGAAAAGTATGGTGGTCATAAAAATAGTTTCTTGGGATTAATGGTGAGATAACAGCCAGTGGCTGATTAGGTTTTTTTTATTAAAAAAAGACTTAGTTGAGTGGCAGCTGGTAATACAGCTGGCTTTATGAAGTACGTCTCTAATGAGCACCTTCTTGCCCAAATTATGCTGTCAAATAAACCTCTTCCTTTCTACAAAACAGTTTAGTCAGACTAGCTCCCACAATAACATTTTAAATAGATGGTTATGAAAATAAAAAAGTATACTACAAGTAACTATAGAGATTAAAAACTGTCATACAATGATAGGCAAGAAGTAAATACAAAAACCAGGGGAATTTAATTGGTTTTCATTTCACTGCCAATAGAAACTTAATTTAAAACGGAACAATGAATTTTAGCAAAAATTCTCCAGATTAAACATGTCCCCCCCATGGAAGTAGGTGTTTTGGTTTTCGAACTTTTTTTCAGAAGCCGAACATGCTCTGTTTTGAGTCCCCCTGTGTTTCCTGTTGCACTGCTAATTTGCGCCCCCCCCCCATTGTAATTCAAACCCTCCATTTCCGACTGCAGTGTTCTGAGGTGATATTTGGAGCTTAGATTTGGTGCTTTTGTTTTCGCTATTTATTTTGCGTTTTTTGTTTTGAGGCTTTTTCAGTTAATTTGTTTTTGTGACTGTGTGGATCCCAGTTCAACTACTGATTGATTGATTGATTGATTGTGTGACAGCGGAAATGGATAAAAGCCCCCCATCCAAACAAAGTGCAGGTAAGAATTTTTTTTATTTTTAATCATCTACAATACTATTTTATTTATTTTATAGTACAGTACATTGATTATTGCTTTAATTTTATGGATCAATGGTCATGTTAGATAGTAAAATTCATGTTAAATTGCTGTTTTAAGGGTTGTTTTTAAAAGTCTGGAACGGATTAATCTGTTTTGCATTACCTTCTATGGGAAAGCATGCCTTGGTTTTGGAACGCTTTAGATTTGGAACAGACTTCCGGAACATATTAAGTTTGAGAACCAAGGTAGCACTGTATTGCAATTTTAGAAAGGTTAATTCTTAACCCTGAAGTTTTTATGGACAGTCATAACACAATATGCATGCAGGGGTAAATATGATCAAAGTTCAGCTGAGAATTTCCAACTTTGAATACATTTGAGCATAAAACAGTCACAAATTACAGGCTGTGTTCACATGCAACACTGAACCATGGTTTGGCACTACAGGAGAAAGGCTGGAGGAATGTCAGGCTCATGTACCACTTACTCTCTCACATACTGTTGACCAGGACTTTGAACTTTGTTTAGCAATAAGCTTTCTTTCCCATTCAGGAATAAAAAGTAATAGCAATGCCATGCTGGATCAAACCAATGGTCCACCTGGCTCAGCATTCAAATGTTGTATTTCCATCCTCTGAATCCACTAGTCAGATTTGCTACCTCTGAAAAGAGAGGCTGTACTTATGGCTGTGTAAAGGTTTCGTGTGTTTGTCTACGGGGAAAGGCATTGCGACAGGCACTCGTGAACAGAATCTATATTTCTGCTTAATAAAAAGACATTTACAAAACAAAATGATGGTTTTGCCTCACTGCATGGCATTCTGGGGAACCGGGGAAAGACTAGAGGTGCAATTACATGTAAAGGTTGCTACACTGACTCCCTCTTGAAACCTTGCAGATGCAGCAGCTGAGAAGGTAATGCCATCTATGCTATTTGTAGACCACACAAAAATAAGATTGTTGTGTTTAGTACTAATACTAATCAAGAATAAATCATAGCTATGCAAGACCTTTAATTAGCCAAATACTGACCAATTAAACAAAGAAATTGAGTGCATGAAAAAAGAATGCTCCAATTGTCCCAATAATAAAAATGGGGTGGGGTGGGGGGCGAGATATCTGCCAATCTACTAAAAGAGGTCACCTGAATCATATGGAGATTCCTTATGAGTGATCAATACTTACATCCTGAATTGGAAAGCATGGAGCTGGACATAAAGCTGGTGTTAGTTCGCCAGTTGGAAGACGTACTCTGTATAGCAGAAATGTCAGCAACTGTTTTCTTATCCTGCGAAAGGGGATGAAATTCCTGCTATGAAAGAGCTGATTTTGATGTATTTCCTTTTTATCTTTAAGATTAAAAGCAGCCTAGAGCCAGGGTTATATAATGTGGCAGAATTCTTTTAAACTGATAAAATCTGGTTTCACTGTTCAGAATGTAAATCTAGTAGTTAGCATTAAATCTGATTTCCTCCCAGATTCTGCGTCACTGTCAACACTTAGAATTCTGGGAGAGGTCACCCTCTGTACGTGCGACTGTGAGTTCTGCGCATTCTTGCTGCAACCTGTGGAATAAATAGGAATCTCACTCTTGTCGTCCCGTCCCGTCCCATCCCCCATCTTAAACGTGCAAAGCAGCACATGGTGATGAATGGGGCAGCCCTAGAAAGCACAGAGACACACATACAAGGATGGGTGTTTTTTTAACAGTAACATAAAGAATACAAAAGTAGACCCTTTCAGTTCAGTTCTGGCCTTAGGGCAGATAAGGTGATCAAGAGAAATTAGCAATGAAAAGCTATTTTCTGCCCTATTTCAAGCAAGTGTGTGAAATAAACATGTACATCTGAATCATTTTGTCCTATTGGCAAACAAATGAGAGAAAAGTAAACCATCAAGAAGAGTGGATGGTCCTGTGGCATTCCAGATCCTACTGGACTACAACTCACATCATCCCTGAACATTGGCCATGCTAGCTGGGGTTGATAAATATTGGGAGCCCAACATTATCCAGAGTACCAAAGGTTCCCAAACCATGGTTTAGTTACTCTTGTGTTCATGAAAGTCTAAACAAAAATGAAACTCTGTTCTGTACTCAGCACTGAACTGGGTTCTTAATATCCAGTATAGATCAAGTCATAATGTTTAGTCTAAACAGAGAGAAGGAATAGATTATTAGTGATGATGGTACCATACACTGATTGGGCAAACTCCTTCAAACTTGGCACTACTTGTACTGAGGCTTTTAATCACCTCCACCATTTGCAGAAGTATCTAAGTGTCCGCAATCTCTGGCTGAAAAAGGGCAGCAGCCTGCATGCCCCAGAATCTGGGTTGGTAGCACTATCAGCACCTGTAATCTCAGGGAGCAGAAGGCCATTAGAGTCAGACCATGCCTGCATTTTGCAGTCTGAGATCCTAGGTGCTGCCAACACCCATGACCTCAGACTGCAAGGCAGCTCTGCAGAACCACCACTGGGGTCTTCTGGACTGTGCTCGTCTACTGCAGCCTGAGATTATGGCTGCTGCCAGCACTGTCTGCACCCGTGTTCTGAGACTGCCCAGGGGCTGCTTGCTCCTGAAATGTTCAGGACTGCTTGCATTTTTACACATAGCTCCTAGGTAGCCCAAATTGTCGCAACCCATGATCTTGAGTTGCTACTGGCACATCCTAAGGTGGAGAAGAACACTTGAAAACTCATTTCTCAACTCTTCAGCTTGTACAGCAACCAAGTGATTTTTAGTAGGGTTCCTATATTGAGCTTTTTTTCTTTCTTTTTTTTAGGAAGACCCCAAAATTGTTGAGCTTTTCTTTTTAAGGAGGCCGCCGAAATTGTTGAGCTTTTTTTGGACAAAACCCAAATACGTGATTTTGACTCGCCTAAGATCCAAGAAACGCACTCCAATGTCAGTATTGCCTTTGAAATCCCGGTAATGTCTGGGAATATCCGGACGTATGGCAGCCCTATTTTTACCCATCTCTAAGTATGATGGGGGGGAGGGAGAGGCTGGAGTGTTTGCCCTGCCAGCAAGGGCTTTTTAGTTTACAACATCACAGAGATTTAAAGAACTAATAATACAGCATGGAGGACATATTCTTTCTCATAAGGCAGTAGGTTTATGACTTTCAGAAGAATATCCTTCACAACAGTTTATTTGTGCTGCATGACATATTATTTCCTTTTTTTATGCTTAGACAAACGTGTGGAGGGAGCTCCATACTCAGGCTAAATCAGGTTATAGAATGCCTGGGACCCACAAACGAGGGACGACAATCTCCTTTTTTACCCAATTTTAGAGTTTTCCTTGGTGAGTGATGGAGACAGAGTGCTGGTGTTTAGGAGACTACTTTGACCTAGCAAGCCGTATTGTATGTATTTATATTCTTCAAGTGAATAGAATTGGCACTTTGCTGTAAGTGATTATGGGCTATCAAGAGCTCTAGTCATTAGTGTGTATTTCTCTAGTAGCTTCACATACAAAGGAAGGCTTAAAGAAAGTGGTGGTAAACTTACTCTGAAATCTTCAAGTCTGCGCTTTGAATCTTCCAGATGCTGATGTAAGGAGCCCATAATTTCCTTGTATTTACTATATCGGTCTTCAATATTGTTTGTCTGATTGTAAGAATCCTGAAATAAAAGAGAACTTTTTAATATGGGCAAAATATGGTTATCTGTTATTTAAAAAGACAAAATGACCAGCGCAGCCCATGGCCAAGGTTGATGGGAGATGTAGTCCAATTATATCTGGCACACAGCATGCTGACTACCCCAGCTCTACTGGAGGGCCTGTGACTTCAGTAGGATTTGTAAGAGATGGCCCTCTGGCCTTGAAACTTCTGTATGCTGCATAGCAGCAAGCACCACACTGCTACTATTTAAAAGGACAATTGCTTCTTATCTTGAACTTTCGCTCTCTGGTTCTGCAATGGGGCAGTCTTCAGTTCTTGGGTCACAGGCAATGCCCTGGCAAAATGCAAGGGGGTGAGGTGTACAGACTAGATTGCTGACCCATAGGAACGTTCTCTGGGCAAAAATGAGAGTTGGCAGTGAGTATCTATGGACTAGTGGACACGGGTGGCGCTGTGGGTTAAACCACAGAGCCTAGGACTTGCCGATCAGAAGGTGAGCAGTTCGAATCCCCGCGACGGGGTGAGTTCCCGTTGCTCGGTCCCTGCTCCTGCCAACCTAGCAGTTCAAAAGCACATCAAAGTGCAAGTAGATCAATAGGTACCACTGCGGCGGGAAGGTAAATGGCGTTTCCGTGTGCTGCTCTGGTTCACCAGAAGCGGCTTAGTCATGCTGGCCACATGACCCAGAAGCTGTATGCTGGCTCCCTCGGCCAATAAAGCGAGATGAGCACCGCAACCCCAGAGTCAGCCACGACTGGACCTACTGGTCAGGGGTCTCTTTACCTTTACCTATCTATGGACCAGTGCTCTGGCCTCCCAGAGGTGGTTGTGTTTAATAAACCCAACACTGGAATCACCAGAGAATGTTAAACAGAGAAAGCCGTTCTGCTCTGATTTGGTGTCAGTTTCATAGAATACTCTTATTCCCTGCTTGTTTTGCCAACATTTGGGCAATGTAATACATCGAAGACCTCTGATTCTACTTTCTAAGGCAGATGTGGGGAACCTTTGGCAACTCCAAAAGTTGCAGAGTATCAATCCCAGCAAGCACGGCCAATGGCCAGAGATTATGGGAGTTGAATTTCAGTGACATCTGCAGGGCCAACGGTTCCCCACACCTGTACTAAGGGGGTGGAGGAAATCACCTTGCATTTCTTTGAAATGTTTCAGTCTTCAGCAGAGCAATTAAGCACCTGTTTGAAATGACATTTTAAAAAATCAATCTGTACTTAGTGAACTAATTTGTTCTAGTGGTACTTCTGAATTGCTTAAGTACACTGATAGTTTAGAGCCTTGTGACCTATGTCATGTGTGAAACACAGTGCTAATTAACAAAAGCAAACAATGGAATAGTGGTGCTCTGGTATTTTGCATGCTAAATATCTGGCATGAATTTTGTCCCCACCATGGAATGGCGTATTTACCCAATGTAATGAACAAAGCTTGGTTTTCAAACACCTTTCCTATTGATTTTGCAGTTTTTGCAGGCTTATCAATAGGTAACGCCAGCTGTGAAACTACAAGCATCCAGTGTGTCATCATTTGGGAAGCAGTGCTTGGAGACTGAATGCCATCATGTCCAAACAAAATCTACCTCTTTTCAAATATTAACACAACTAAGAGCTGGTGCCACACTAATTTAAACAAAAAATCAGCTTATTGAAACACGGTGAACAGATCAAAAACTCTGGCAAAGAGAAGACATAATCCTCGGCTATTTAATTTGAGTAAACTTTAAATTGCTGTACCGTTATCAGGTAGTTCTGTATTATGAACTGGGATTCAAGCCAGGGCAGAGGACTGTACTTGGGGAGGATTTCTTTGATTTGGATAAAGTGATGGGGGCAGAAAGGGAATTCATTTACAGCAGGGCTGGAGAACATTTGGCCCCATGGATGTTGTTGGACACTCTAGTCAATATGACCAATGATCAGGAATGATGAGAGCTGTGGTCTAACATCTGGAGGGTCACAGGTTAACCTCCCCTGGCTCACAGAGCAAGCCATTCAGGTTTACCTACACTTCAAAATCTAATGAAATGTCAATAAAGGGCTAAAAAGCAATACTATATATTGATGCATTTCAACCATTCATCTACTGCTTAACAGCACGGTTTCTAAGCGGTGTACAATAAAGTTACAACACAGATAAAATCCGTTAATGTTAACCATACAAGTAGAAAAACGAATTTAAAATGCCCAAATGCCTGTTGAAATAAAGACGTCTTCACCAAGCTGGGAAGCTTCCACAGAATTGGGCCCACAATACCACACACACAGCTCCTGGTGGTTAAGACCTGGGCATCTGAGCCATGGAGGGCCACTAAAAGTCACTCCCCTAAGTATTTCATTGATCAAGCAGGCGCATAAGGATGCAGTCCTTAAGGTATCCTGGAGTTGTTAAGTTGTAACTTATGAACCTTGACTTGGCCTGGCCCTACAGTATATGGAAAACCAATACAATGCAAGCTTTTAAGGACAGGAGTTATGAGCAGGCTGTAGTCTATTCCCATCAACCATCTAAGCTACAGCATTTTACACCAGCTGGAGCTTTCAGACCAGGACCAGGGTAGCTCCACATACAGTCCGTTGTCAAAGCAGACTTTACACTTTATGCCCCCAGCGCAATATATTTCCCACTGGTGCAGGGGAATGCCGAACAGTTTCTAACAAAAAAGAGATGGTAAAACTTTCTCACTCCAAAATCTCTGAAATCTTCTAAAAGATTCAGTTTCTCAGGAACAGACTCCAGATGATCCAAAGCCACTCGAGTACTCTGAAGAACAGAAGAAAAGATATATCTATATAACTTGGACTTATTTATTTTCTACACTTATAATTATTCAAAAGCACCGTATCCAGGAAGTACCTATATGAATAAACCAGCATTGAAATTCATAGGACGCTGGATGTTGTCAACAGTCCAGGAAGCAGATGGGGAGCGATCACACGAAGTATGCATGTAAATAAGGTAGGAGAGAGCTGGAAGAAGGAGGAACTATTGGAAGCGGATCCTTAGCGCTGAAGGGCCCCTTGCTTTGGAAATTTTTGGGTAGTCACTATGGATGTGCTTAATTGTTAGCTATTCCACTCGTGGAAATATTGTTCTTACAGTAACTGTGAATCACTTACCCCAAGTACCACCAGCACACAGCCAAATCAGACTGCTCATCTTGTGGTTCCCCAAGCAACTCTTTTGCTCCCTAGGCTGCTGCTGCTGCTTTTTAGCCCTGTTTTCCTGCTCCTCCTCCTTTGCCCACACAGTCTTTCCCCTCTTTGATCTACAATTGGCTGTGGCCACCCTCAGGATTTTGTCTGTGAATGTCTTTGATACCAGACAGATCAAATGCAGAGAGAATGATCATCGACATGGGTCGCAACAGCCATAGGATTATATACTGTGCAGCGCTTAAGAGATTCTTTAAGAAAAAAATTAATTGGTTTATAAATCATTTTAAATAAATAAATGGCAGTGGGGACACGGAGGACAGCAAGGGAAATGGCATCAAAACAATGTGAACATGTTAGCAGCCAGTGTCAAAAATAGATGGAGGGACTGCCGTCGGATACTCATGAAAAGATGCAGGAATTTGAGATCCCGTGCATGTTTTAAACGATTATCTATCATCATCACCCTTTTTCAGCATATACAAGGTGGCAGACACAAAATCAAAATAGCACAATACAATTTTAAAAATACTGATAGATACACTAATTCTAGTGGTTAGGTTGTGGAACGATGGGTTTGCAGTTCAGGTAAAATATTGTTCTGTCTCAGCAGTATGCATCAAGTACTGCAGCATAGTTCTCTACCTGCCATACAAAAACACCTTATTAAAAGCTCAGGCCCTTGTGACTTCAAACCAAGGTGCTGTAACACTCCAAATTGCTCAAGCTAAGATAGTTGTGACTTAAATAGTTTTTTGTTCATAATAATTAAAACAAAATGTTGCAGTGAGTATGCTGTGAAAGGCAAATCCACATAACTAACATTACCTAACAAATGTGCATCAATTTTATAGTATTTAAAACCCCCAACCTAAGAAACAGAAATGCATATATCACCAGCAAACCAATATTTGATATTTATTTCTCATTAATGGCAGCCTTTTTTTGTGGAAATATTTACAACCATTCCTAAACACAGTGAGCTATTCAGAACAGTATGATATATATGTTTAAATCTGGAACATACTTAAATATTGGGTTATGTCTTTACATGTTTTTGGCTCTGGAGGCTCATTGCATCTTTTGAAATGTTGACATTTCCATAGTATCTATGAAGTCACCATGCTGGAAAGTTTTGTTTCTCAATCAGTAATTTTTGCATTTAACTTTCAATTTGTTGATTTCCTTCCTGTATATTGATGTCAGTGGGTATCAGTTCTGTTGCAAAGCTTTTTCCACATTCACCAACACACACACACACACACACACACACACACACACACACCTTTTCTTTCAAAACCCAAAGACATTGCCTTTGCTTTGAGTGCTTTTCCTCATTTCTGCTGTGGGGCAGATTCTGTTGTATGACACCTGGGCCTCTTTGTTTTTTCCTTTCTTCTCCTTTACTACCCCATCAAATTTCCCTTGCTGCAAGTGCGTGGAAGCAAAAGCCTTCTGATCTGTGCAGCTGCCGAAAACAAAGTTTTTCAGTTTGCTTTTCTCTGACTCCCTCCATTTCTCAGCTGGGATATCAGTTCATGCTCTTCTCTAGCCGACTAGAGTTTGCTTTGGCTTTTCTCATAAACCCCCAGCCCTCCACCATGTAGGGTAACTTGTTAATCCTTTGAATCTAAGTCATCCTTGGGGCAACACTGGGACTTGGATGCAGGGATGTGGCATTATACATCTGGTTTGCTGAGATGGATCTGAACACTTGCAGCCCACTCCCCACCCCAAAAAAGCTCTATGAAAAAGGAATGCCTGCTCCTTGCCACTTCCAAAGCCACATTAACAAATTAAGTCACAGGATGGAACATGCACAGAACATGATGCATAGAAACAAGTTCCAACAAGAAGAGGGGTGCAAAAGCAATGACCTAAAAAACAAACCAGATAATCCAAAATAAAATCAGTGCAAACAGCTGATAAGTTCTTCCAGGTAGGACCCGGGAACATAGGAAGCTGCCTTGTTCAGAGTCAGACCATTGATCCATCTAGCTCACTACTGTCTACACTGGCTGGCAGTGGCTCTCCAGGGTTTCAGGCAGGAGTCTCTCCCAGCCCAACCCGGGGATGCTGCAGACCTTCTGCATACAAGGCAGAGATGCTCTGTCACAGAGCTACGGCTCTGACATGCACCCTATCACTTTCAAAACAGCTTTACCCAGGCTTCCTCAACCTCAACTCCAGGTCTTTTGAGACTACAATTCCCATCATCCCTGACCACTGGTCCTGCTAGCTAGGGATCATGGGAGTTGTAGGCCAAAAAACATCTGGAGGGCCGAGGTTGAGGAAGCCTGGCTTTACCTGTTATCAGTGTAGCCTACCATCTAACCAAGTAAAACATAACTATGAAAAGGGCAAGCACAGAAATTGTTGACAAAAATAATGAGTGGCATTCAATTACATTTTATATTATATTTTTTATGTTACTTATAAATATATTATTATTATTGTTGTTGTTATTATTATTGTTATTAGACTATGTTAGGTCCATTAACTGCAATAGGTCTACTCTGCACAAAACCTGTTTGAATACCACCCAATCTTTTCAAGCAAAAATGAAGCAGCGGTAATAAGTAGTTGTTGTCTACATAAAAAGACTGAAGTATCACACTTTGATCTGATCAATATACATACTTTGAGATTTACAGTTCTACTATGAATCTCTAGGTCTATCAAAAGTATATTCAATTTTTTTAAAAAATCTGGCCACAACTTGTAATATACTAGTTGAATATCTTGCAATGATCAACTAAGAGCTCTCTCCTAAGGCCCTTCCTTAACTTTTCTTTCCGAAGCTAAAAAAAACTGCTCGGAGGTGTCTGTCCATGTCTCTCCCTCATTAAATTGCCCACCACTGTGCCTCTCCCACAAAGAAGCTGCACTCATTCATATTGCATGCTTCATTTATAGTGGCCTTATGTTCATCAAAGCCTTGATTTTCCACTCCATTAATTTATGATGAGTTGCATGGTTTGCTACTTCTTCCCAGAGCCATTTGTAGCCCTGGTCTTCGTAAGGGCTCGAAAAGGTTGAGGGGTATCTGAAAAGAGACAGCAGATTCTCAGCAAGCTTCTCACTGCAGCTTTAAGTGATGGGAAAGTTAACTGTGTGAAACAGAACAACCAACCCAAATGCTCAGCAGTCATCTTGGAGGGGACAATATGCTTCAGGGACATTCTGCCACATGAAAGAAATTCAGGAGCTACCAACTTTGAACAGAATCACTCCCCCTTAAATGTTGTTCCTTTCCCCCTAGTCAGAGACACATTAAGGGTTTACATTGTGAAAGTTGGCAAGTAACCGAATCCATCGAAACGCCAGGTTATGGTTAGGATTTTCTGTTCCCAAAGAGGCTACTTAAGCAAACTTAGCAACTGAGTTGGGAACCTGTGTTTGTGTTGCAGCCAATGGTGAAATTCAGACCTGACACTTGAACTGCCCTACACAGTCCACAATTCCTGGGTTTTCCAAACTTTTTAAAGTATTATATATACAATTGGGAACTTTCGTGGCAGGAGGATTTAAGCCGGCTGAAAAGCGAGAACAGTGATCTTTGCTATGCGATCCCAGCAGCTGAAATGTAGTGCGCAGCCTCGCATTAACTATGACAGCGCCAGCCACAACACTGGCATGTCTTTCTCTACAGACAAAAGCATGCATGTGAGTCCGAACTTCAGCTTAGCAGGTAGCTGGAAGACAGCAGGGTAATTTCTGAAGGAGGCTGCAGGAGTAGAATTCCAGTCTCGTTATGAAGGACACAAATACAACCGTGTCCGGAAACAAATCTGCAAAAAGGTAAGTTTTCCTTGCCGTGAAGAAGAAAAGAAGGACCGAAGGGCAAAAGCGCACATTAAAAGAAGGAAAAAGTCATGTTTTTAGCTGACCCGTGGAAGTGGTGCAACAATAATTTAGTGGCACACACAGCAACCTCCTTAATATGGATTAAGTGCCATATTTGTATCATTAATGACAGCACTCTTCTCTATTAAAAGAGATAGGTTTAGCCATGCAGAACAAAGTGCTAAAAAGGATGGGGGGAACACCTGACACAGAGGGCAATTAAGTACTGCTAATTATTTCCCAGAAACTGCAAAGGATGTGCCATAATGCATACAACTAATCCTGAAGAGAGCAATCATGTCTGTCTGCTCATTATTTAACAGGGAACAAAGGGCACTGATACAGCACACTGATGAAGCTGATAAGTGGCAAGGGTTCCAGTTGTACCAATAGAAGCAGCATTGGTGGTAATTTAGTTAAAAGCACCCTGCTCCATCATGGCAGTGAATGCTATTAATCTTCCCTTGTTTTCTTAACATAAAAGATTATTTACTTTCTAAGAGGTGTTCTATGTTCTCGGAGAGAATGATAAAACAAATTACTCATTTTCCATGACTTCATATAAACACTTTGATGTTTCAAGAGCATGTGAACAGTTAATCCTCCTTATATTGATGCATTTGCAGTGATAGGCAGCTCTGGGCTGTTGTCCCCCAGGGACAGGTCTAAATCAAAGTCAGAAGCTGCATTTTATTTTTAGTCTTGAAACCACAGTGATATTTGATATTTGATAAACACAAATATAAAACAAGCTGGGCTTTG